ATGTTGACAGGAAAAATGTTTGTATGCTTAAAGGATTAATGCTCACTTTTTCTACAGAGCGTAACTCAGTTTTGCAATAAGGGTATGAAAGGTGTCACAACTATATAAAAGTGGTCTTTGTGGTACTTTATTCTTCAGCACTAACTAAATGTATGATCCTGGGAAAGTTACTTTTTTGTAACTCACTTTAAGAAAGTTAATTGAGAACTAGGTCTGTCAACTTATATTTCCTTAATAAATGTTAGCTGTGTTACAATAACACAGTAGTAATAATAACAGCAACATGATTCCACACCCCTTCTTCGGTTGGAGGTTCCTTACCTGAAGCATCATTTTCATGTATCTCTAGAGATCTTTTCCAGTCATACAAATAGAACTCCATAGGATGTATCCAAAGGTATCACTTTTCCCAGCTAGTTAGTGAGATCACTAAAGGTTAAAAAATAAATTCTAAAACATTTATAAATCCTGGTAGCCCATGTCTCAGAATTCTAAATAATGAGTTCCATACTTGTTTAGAAGAGTTTTCTCTCATTTTTTTTATAAAAAGAAAGTAAACATTTTGTTTAAAATTTAATGTCAAATACCCTTGGTCACTTTTCATTAACATTTAATTCAGTTTTACAAGTAGGCTCCTATGCTAGTGATAGAAAAAGAGATTGTGGAATGATGCTATGTCTCCTGCCCTTTTGGAAGCCAGAAGATGGCTGAAGAAATAAGAGTCAGTCAGGCAAAAGAGACCTTCAAGTCTAGAATGGGTTTACCTCTCCAGCCTATAGAATAGAATGCAGCAGGAACCCAAAAGCTAGACCAACCTCATTTTGATCTGGGTGCAGAGACAGGCAGAGCTGTATTAATAGACTTATTCCATTAATTTAGTATATGTTTATTGACATGAAAAGGTGTTATACATTAGGTTAAAATAGTATTTGTATCTATATACAGATATACACATGCATATATGGTATAACCTAATTGGACAAAACCTTGTCTGTTAAATTCATATTTAAATACTAAATTTACAAGTCTAAATAGAATAATATTATTAATTATGCTTAGTGTTGGGATTGTAGGTCCTTTCCCCGCCCTCCCCCTTCTTAAGTTTCGAAATTTTACTGTTTTGTTTATTTACTTTAAAGGAATTAAAATGCAACATGATATTCCACTGAAGAGTGTCAGAAAGCCCGGGGGTGGGGGGCTGGAAAAATGAAGACTGACCTGTTGGAAGAGTCAAAACAGGCTTCTGGCATAAATAGGAAGAGAGGGTGACAGTGGAACATGTTCCAAAATGTAAAAAAAAATGGGCCTGTGCATTCAGTTGGGGTGAAACAGTGGGCAATAAAAGGACTTTGGAATTTACACAAATATGTGAGACAGGATGATTAGAAGCAAGGAAGTAAAAGGTGCTTATAAAATCCAAGTAAATATCTGTTACTGGAACAGAGCGTGTGTTAGAGACCAAGCGAGAACACAGAGGGGCCAAGGTAACACCTAAGGTAAGGAGCCTCTGCCCCGGGGGGGTTCTCAGCTGCATGGTGTGCTGCAGCTGCAGAGGGCCAATTCTTGACTCTCTGCTGAGTCCAATAGATTAAATGAGCAGGACAGAAACGATGAGGGAAATGGAACAGGACAGAGTGAAATGGGAGAGGAATAAAAAGGAAGTCAGTTACTGAAAGACAGATAAAAGATACTTAAAGAAAAAAATGTCAAAGACTTGGCAAAAACAGCAAGTTCAGAAGTATGCAATTCCGTGAATATTAACCAACAAGGGGAGGCATTTGATGGTAATGTGGCTATCACAGTAGAAATAAGGTAGCACTTGGGTTTTAACAAATTTTTTAACTAAGATGCTACTTCTTTCTGGAAAAAAAATTAGGTAGGGAAAACCATTCTTTTTCACTAGGTCAGCCTATGGAAGTTCATAGACTTGTCTACTTTTGGATGTACTGAGTGACTCTGTGGGAACGATTTGGTGTGCTGTTTCACCATATACTGTAATATATTCTAAAAGATAGAAATCCTTTTCAGTGTGTTAAAAATAAAGTTAATACAGAAGGGGGGGGTCAAAAGAAGCTAGAAAAAAGTAAGATTTTGCAATTTTGTTTGAAATTATTTAGACATAAAACAAATTGGCAAGTTTTTCTCCTCTTGCTGTGGCTGTGAACTTTAATTTCATTAGACCTTATAGTTGTATGTTCCCTGTGCTTAAAAACAACTGCAGTTGTTCTCATATTAGAAGAGAGATAACTGGAGGCCAGTATCTTGACTTGTCATGAGAAAAATCATGCTAAATCAGTGGCTGAAATACACAAAAAGAGTCTCTTCCTTGGCTTCCCTTTTCTTTTCATCATTTACGGGATTACCCTCATTTCAGTTCCCGGAGCATTTAGCTATTTGCACAGTAAGTCGTCAGGTCATAAAACAAAGGTATCAAAACAGGCTCTTTAATCTTTTATCTAAAACCATAACTTGGCCTGGCAAAAACACATTTTGAGACTAACCATAATCTTTATAGAGCCAGGTGTTAATAATCTAGGTCTAAACAAAATGTATAGGTCTTTGTCCAGAAACTAAATAGCAGATAAAAAAATGAGAAGTGGCTGATAAATGAAAGTCTTAAATTTTTCTTATCAATTTTCAGAAAGAAACAAAATAAAAATAGTCAACAGCAAACAGGAAGGTAATAAGATCCCATACAGACAGAAACACAGGACAACCACTTAATTGTGCATTTATTAAAAGCTCAAGATCATTCTGATTCTGGTTAACTACTGTACCCCCAACACCATCTCTAATCTCTTTCCTCCTAGCATTGACCTTCTGAAGTTCAATCGCTTAGGAAAACTTTTCATATGCACAATCCTCTTCTTCAAACAAGAAAGAAGATTGTAGATTCTAATAATAAAATAATAGCTTAATACCTTTAATCAAACACTTCTTCTATGTCTGCACTGCTGCAATGGTTTTATGAAAAGTGTGATTATTTGATCTTTGCACAAGTCTTTTCAAATAGCATTATCTGTCTTTATACAACAGAGACACGAGAACTAACAAGGATTTAGTTAAGAAAATCTCTCACAGCCCCAGAGTTAGTGAAGTAGCAGGTTGCAGATAAGAAAAGAAAGAGTTGGATCAACATTTATCCACAGACTCCAGAACATCAGGATTCATAACTCGTATTCTCAGCTGTTATGTGAGAGTTAGAGAGACTCCAAGAATCCCAGGTGTGGAAATTCTTCTTTTTTCCTTGCTTAATACATTTTTTTGTGGATTACAATTTGTTCCCATTTTCAAAAAGTAATCTTTTTATAATCAGACATTTCAGAAGTGTGTTTTCTCCCTTTCCACTGAGTTTTCAACTTTTTTTTTCATTTTTTTCTACCATATGAGCAGCTTATAATAAGGACTGTGAAAGGAAGCAACAGGTAATTATAAAATCCAGATAAATTTCTGAGATGGGAACAGAGCTTGGAGCAGAGGAAAAAAAGAAAGGGAAGGGGGTAGGAGAGAGGGAGGGAGGAAGGAAGACAGACAGACGTGGAGATGCCAAGGGAATGGATAAGTCCATTATATTCTCTCATTGTGAAATAGGAATAATATTATTATCTACCTTATGGTGTTTCATAAAGAAAGAGACAATAAACTGTATGCACATGCAACAATAATGCAGCAACCCATGTAGCTGTGATTCTATGAGTCCATCGTCTGAGAAAGTGACCCTGTTCAAATGCCAGTGGTGACGTGCTCGAATAGGGCATAATAGGGACTCCTTCGATTTCTACCTCATGCCAAGGACAAAGACATTCCTTTCTCCTGTTTTCTTGAATCTGTGAAGTACAAGAAAAAAGTTTGCAGAGAAGGTCTCTGAAAAGGAATCTAAGGTTACTGAAGAGGAGTTTTTGTGTGTCGTGATTGTTTTCAAGAATTAACCATGATTTTTGTCCCTGTCTAATTATGTTGACTTATTTTCAACAAGATTTCCCTCAGCTACGTAGGGACTGAGATGCTCTAGGCTTTATTTCTTGAAGAACAGAAACACGAAGAAAGAATCTCAAGAATATTTTCCTTAAAGAAAAGGAAAATCAACATGAGCGTCCATAAATGAGTCATCTACTTTTCCAGTTATGGATCATTTGAACCCTAGACTGCCAGTTGTATGGTAAGGTACAGCTGCACACCATACAACTGGCCCTGCACAGTTTTCTAATTGTTAGTCTAACAAATCGTCACAAAGTTGGTGGCCTAAAACAACGTAAAATTTTAGCTGGCCTTTCTGTAAGTCACTGAGTTATTCAGCAAAGCGTCTGCCGATCTAAGGTTTGTTCTGGGGGCTCCAGGGAACCATCTGCTTCCTTGTTATCCACCTTCTGGAGGGATCCATCTTCCTTGTCTCATGACCTCTTCACCATCTTCAGAGTGAGCCTATCACATCCTGCCGACCCTACCTGCATCATTGCTCTGTCTTTTATTTTTTTATTTTCTTCTGCCTCTCTCAATTTTAAGGGTCCTGAAGACTGTGCCCACCCAATCTTCCTATTGCATGGTCAACTGAACAGCCTTACTTCTATTTGCCACCTTACTTCTCCTGTGCCAAGCAGGCTAACATATTCCCAGATTCCCACATTAGGATGTGGACATCTCTAGAGGGGAGAAGGGACATTACTCTATCGACCCCAGTCCCTTCCCTCCTGCTATTCTTCAGAAGCAAGGAACTCAGGAAAAGCGCACGCGTGCACGCACAACTAAATAGAAAGAACTACAAAATAGATCCCTCTCTTCTTCACTTCCTCCAAACCACAGGGCATACAAGATTCCAAAGTCAAATGAGAATCTCATTTATGTGAGCCTCGTTGCTTGTTTTCTGCTGCTAACTCGCCCTCTTCCATTTGGATAGACAATTGACATTTGACGAGGTGTCCTTCAATTTCTTTTCTGCATTAATGTATTACTTGAGTGTGTTTTGTAATACTTAGGACATAACGATGTCATTCCAGGTAACAATGTACCCTGGAGCACGTGAAACCACCCCCAATCCTTACCCGTCAAGCAGCTACGGGTCTCCTGGGTCTCAGCAACATCCGAGTCCAATAAACCCGGGAAACCAAGCTCAAGGTGGGCAGCCTTACTTCGTTGCATCTCCGGGAATCATTCCTAGCAATCAGCTGGGTCAAGGAAACGTACAAATGATAAGTCCAGCTACAGGAACAGCACCGACAAACTTCAAAGAATCAAAGACACTGGGGGTGAGTCCATTTGCTACCAGAATTCTAATTTTGCATTTGCAAGGGTTGGTTTGTTGTTATACCTGTAAGCTGCAGATGACTTACCATTCAATTATTAAGGAGCTCTAAACAGTATTCTGGAAACTGTGTCCCCTTCAGGTAGAAATAATCAATCGGCAAACAGACTTTACCCCAAGTCCACTTTATTTCAGATTCAAGCCAGAATCTAATGGTTGACAGAGGACCCTCCCTCCCTAGCAGGGGCACTCGGTAATATTGATACAACGGGAGCATCACTACTTCTAACTTGATCTCACTTTGTTAAAAAACTTTTTAGACAATCTCACTCGGACTTCTGGAATGGTTACAAGCCTGGTGTTTGCATACAGGTGAATTCACTGGTGGTAGCTGCCCCAAAACGAGTGGAGTTACTAACAGGAAGTCTCCCCAGACTCAGGGTGAAAGAATTACGAGGTGTATCACCTGCAGTGCTTCGCTCACAGTACCCTTGAAAATGCTATGGCTTAACCGATGCCTTATTTCTACAAAGGTTACTTTGAACTGAACCCCCACAGTCTTATTTCCATAGACTTTAGAAAACATGCCCTACTTGGAGGTGAAGATTCCACCTGCTCAGGTAGAATTGCTAGTCTTTTTGCCAAGCATTCCAGGGACCTCTTCCAGATCCTAACACAATCCCACCAAACCGCATGGAATCTCCCGCTGTGTGCAGCTCCAACCTCTACAGCGAGAGTTGTCCATAAATAAAATTAAATCACCATTGCGTGCCAGAACTCCTCTAGCCATCTTACTACCTGGTTTAAGTCTCAGCCATTTTAAGAAATTAATAATGAGCCTCAGTCTCCCTCCGGCAGCCAATCTAAGCTGAGGAGGTGGCCCCTCTAATGCTCCTCCTGCCAGATGGAGGAAGTTCCCGTTTCCTGCTGAACAGATGGGACAAACCAGCACCTCACAGAGGAGTTGGGATTATCATCCTCATGGAACCTACCACCTAGTGGGGGAAATCCGCTGCACACATAATAAGGAAGTGGAGCATGGAGTGTGCTGGAAAGAGATGAAGGAAACACAGAGAATACAGTGCAAAAGGGGTCAGAAGTACCAGGAAATGAGGGAGGAGCTATTTCAAGCTGGCCAGCCTGGGCTTTCCCTAGAACATGGTATCTGAGCACAGACGTGAAGTTAGGGGTGAGCCGTGCAGATATCAGGGCAAGAGGGAAACCAGTATAAAGGTCTTTAGAGGAAAACGTGTGTGATGAGTTTGATGGACAGGGAGGAGGCCAATAAAGGAGAAAAGCATGCAAGGGAGGGAGCGGTCAGGAGGAGAGGCAGAGACATGGTAGGGGCCAGACCTGGTGGGACCTGGAGGGCAGAGGCTTGGGCTTTTACTGAATGGAATGAAGTACCACTGCCTGGTACCAAAGAGGTGTGAAATAAAAGTACTTTTTAAAAGCGACGGCACTTGGCAGAAGCTACATCTCCATGAAGATTCCACATGTGTGCCACTCGCAGCTCCATTCATGACAACTATGCAGGGGCCAAGGCTGGTGGGATGAACAGCATCCACACCAGTCAGCTCAGAACTGTAGGTGGTCCTGTGGCCCAAAATGCAAAGTGAATTGAAAGCACAAAGGTGGTTAAGTTTAAGGTGATTCTGATCAGTACGTGGTACGATTAGGATGAAGATGGGAAGTTTGTAGACTATTGGACTGATGAGAAGAACTTGTGGAAATCAAAGATAAAATCTCATGCAGGAGTTCTTCAACTGAGATGTATCATTCACTAAAAGAGGCTCATCATCTCCCTGAGGTATGGGTCAAAGTGTGGCATACGTACATAGATGGGCAAGACTGAAGGGTTCATAGTTTTTATGAGAATCTCAAAGAAATTCATTATTCAAAAGTATATCAATCTCTTAGCTTTGCTTATGAAACGTTCCAATTTTAATTTAACTTAATTATATGCACTATTTATTGAAGACATAAACACAGAAGTGTCTGTGTTTGCAGTCTTCCTGGTTAGATAAGACATGCACATTGGGAAGAAATGAATCATAGTACTCCATTGACTTTTGCACCAATCTAGCAATTGTCATTTCTCATAAGTATATGCTTACTCAGGACAAAGAAAGGTGTGACCAGAGGTACAAAAAAGTACAAGAGGTGTCCCTTGCCTTTGGATATGTCTCTTGACTGATAAGAAAATGGTTGCGCACCTGAAATAAAAAAAAAAAAGATATAAATGACTAGAAAGCCAAGTGAAAAGGTGTGTTTATATCTTGACATGCAACAAAAATGTTTGGGGGAGTTGAATTTATTTATTGCTTTAGATTCACATGACAGTAGGGTGTATTCTGACATATCATATATACATGGAGTGCAACCCATTCCAATTTAGATACCATTCTTGTGGTTGTACATGATGTGGAGTTACACTGATTGTGTATTCTTCTATGAGCATAGAAAAGCTCCACCCAGTTCATTCTATTGTCTTTCTTACTCTCCCCTCCCTTCCCTTCATTCCCCTTTGTCTAGTCCAATGAATGTCTTTTTATACCTCCTCCCTACCCTCCTTGTTATGGGTTAGCATCCATATATTAGAGGGAACATTCAGTCTTCAGTTTTATGAGATTAGCATATTTCACTTAGCATAATAGTCTCCAGTTCCATCCATTTACTGCATATGTCAGAACTTCATTCTTCTTTATGGATGAGTAATATTTCATTGTGTATACTTGCCATATTTTCTTTATCCATTCATCTGTTGAAGGATACCTATATTGGTTCCATAGCTTAAGTATTATAAATTGAACTGCTATAAACAATGATGTGGTTGTGCTTATTTTAAGTCCTTTGGGTATATGCCAAGAAGTGAGATAACTAGGTCAAATAGTGGTTTCATTTCAAGTTTTCTGAGGAATCTCCATACTGCTTTCCAGAATGGTTGCACCAATTTGCAGTCCCATCAGCAATGTTTGGGTGTACCTTTCCCCTCACATCCTAGCCAACATTGAATGTTACTTGTATTCTTCATAATTGCCATTCTGACAGGAGTGAGATGGAATCTCAGTGTAGTTTTAGCAATTAGACAAAAGAAAGAAAGTAAAGGGATAAGAATAGGAAAAGAAGAGCTCAAATTATCCCTGTTTGCTGACTATAGGATTCTATACTTAGAACCAAAAAAATCTCCACCAGAAAGCTTCTTGAACTCATAAATGAATTCAGCAAAGCAGCAGGATATAAAACCAACACCCACACATCAATTGCATTCCTATATACCAATGATGAATCGATGAATCAGCTGAAAGACAAATCAGGAAACTATCCCATTCACAATTGCCTCAAAAAATAAAACAAAATACTTGGGAATCCATCTAACAAAAGAGGTGAAAGATCTCTACAATGAAAACTACAGAACACTAAAAAAAGAGATTGAAGAAGACCTTTGAAAATGAAAATATTTCCTATGTTCTTAGATAGGCAGAATTAATATTGTCAAAATGCCGTACTATCAAAAGGGCTATACGGATCTAATGCAATTCCTACTAAAATTCCAATGATGCTCTTCATAGAAATAGAAAAAGCAGATATGAAATTCTTTTTGAAAAATAAGAGACCCAGAATAGCCAAATTAATCCTCAGCGAGAAAATTGAAGCAGGAAGCATCACAATATCAGACATTAAATTATACTATAGAGCTATAGTAACAAAAATTGCATGGCATGGGCACCAAAGCAGACATGTAGACCAATGGGTACAGAATAGAAGACACAGAGACAAACCACATAAATACAGACAACTCATACTGGACAAAGGTAGAGAAAAGGTAGCCTCTTCAACAAATGGTGCTGGGAAAACTGGAAATCCATATGTAGTATGGTGAAATTGAACCCCTATCACCTACCCACCCTGCAAAAAACTCAATTCAAATTGGATCAAGGACCCAGGCATTGGACTAGAGACACTGCACCTACTAGAAGAAAATGTAAACCCAACTCTCCATTATGTCAGCTCAGGAACAGACTTCCTCAATAAGACTCCTAGAGCACAAAAAGTAAAATCAAGAATCAATAAAAGGTATGGCATCAAACTAAAAAGCTTCTTCAAAAACAAAGGAAACAACCAATGACATGAACAGAGAGCCTACAGAATGGGAGAAAATCTTTACCACCTGCTCAGGTGAGCATTCATCTCCAGGTCATACAAAGAACTCAAAAAAAACACCAACAGAACAAATACTCAATCACTAAATGGGCAAAGGAACTGAACAGGCACTTCACAGAAGAAGAAATACAAATGGTCAAAAAATATGTTCAATATCTTTAGCAATTAGAGAAATGCAACAGAAATTGAGAAAGAAAAGACAGTAAGTCAATTTGACAGGTGTAACCAAGAAGGCTTAGTGGAAGAGATGGACCTGCATTGAGCCTCGGGGGTGGGAGGAGTCAGTGCCAAAGAGTTCAAATGTGAGCTCTGGAGTCAAATTGCTGCAGGAAATTCCCAAATATGTCCCTCACTAACTGCCTGACCTTGGACACCTAATTTATTTATATTTCTGTGTCTCTTTCAGTGGTTGGTGGGATTACAAGGAACAATACGTATAAAGTGATTATAACATTATCAAGTAGAAAATGAATTACTCATAACTGATATTATCCAAGCAGAGAACTGTTCTATTTGCAAGAGAGCCACTAAAGTCACATGTAATGGTATTATTCTGTTCTGAGTGTCTTTGGCTTCCAGAAGATGCTAATGGATGCATCAGTAGTTGTGCTCTCTGAAGTACTCTCCTACAGCCACCCTGCAAGCCACCTCCAAAACCTCAAGCAAGGCTTTACACTGATAGTTTTGCTCCCATTATTCTCGAGTATATCAAAACACTCACGTCCAACCCCTGCTTTACCTGCATGCCCAAGTGATGCCTATGGGACCTGGCAAAGTGGTGGGTAAATGAACAGGAGCAGCAATGACCATAAGGTCTCAAAGGCTGAAAATGAAGAAGTAATTGTAAAATTCCTATTTTCTCTTTCAGGGAATCCAGATTGTGATTGGATCAATGCACATTGGCTTTGGAATTATTTTGGGCCTTTTGAGCTACTCTACTACACAATATTTGGGTTTTGGCTCCTTCACTTTTATTAGTGGATATCCATTCTGGGGTGGAATCTGTGTGAGTAGATGGCTAGGACACCTGTCGCTACCTGGGCATCTTCAGCCTACATGTAATATTAATATTATTAAGTTTTTAATAATTCAGGTATCTGAGGGTGGGAGGATTTAGAGAAATAACATCTCTGGGCTTAAAAAAGAAGGGGAACATTGTTCCCCATTTTTCATTTGAATCTTAAAGTTTACTTAGCTCGAGTAATCTAACCAAAGTTTTAGGTCCCTATGACATTTTAGACAGAAAAGGGTGTGTTGGGTGGAGAGTGGCAAAAGGAGATAATTGGAAACATAATTTTTTTTTAAAAAAGCAGGAAACAACATTAGGCAATAATCTCAGGAATCTTTGAATAAGGAAAGCTTTCAGGAAAATGAGTTCTTTATGTGCAAGAATCTTAGGGGTGGGGAAGAGTCAAATCATATCACTCATAAAGTTACTCAAGAAAACTGAGAAAAACAACAGGCAATTTTGAGAATAAAATTAGGTGAATGTAGATGTACCAGCCTTCCACGTAAGGAGAAGTTCCCAGGCACAATCAGAGAATCCACCATTTGACAAATAAATTTTTCTATTTCTACAGTTCATTATTTCTGGATCACTCTCTATAACAACATTCAAGGAATTCTCCCCTTGCCTGGTAAGTTGGAATGTTTCTACTTTTTAAACCCCTTTAAAGATGAGTGGAGAGGAACATTGAGGAGGCAGATTCAGAAAGTGTGAACAGATGCGTTTTCTCAAAATATGTGGAAGAGTGGTCCACGCCATTTGCCAATTTAGGCAAATTGGAATGTGAGAACTCCACTTCCTGACTCTTGAACTCACAAGGATGGGAAATGGGAAAGATAAGGGTGGCTTAAGTTTTAACCTAAAGACTTTTTGCTTCAGTTGAGTCCAACTTCACCAGCAGAAGGCCACCCCGCCCCCAACAAAACTCCAGGAACCAGGAAATACCTACTTGCCCCTCAGTAAAAAGGTCTCGGATGTTCACTTGTCTATTCTCAACTCTACCTTATGGTTGTGTGTGTGTGTACAGATGTGTGTGTGTGCAGATGTGTGTGTGTGTTTGTGTGTGCGCGCACACACACATATTTCTTCTTGAGATTGGGTTTTTATTGTAGAATTCTTTAAATCAGGATTAAAGTAATCTAGTGCAGAACATAAGAAAAACTTATAAAAAGATCAATGAGGCAGCATACCAATGGTCACAGCATACCTTGGTCACAGCATACCAATTTCCTGATTGAATTACCAACCAGGAGAAGGAGACTGACTTACCAAAAACCAAAGCAGAGGTGGTTTCAAGATCACCTTAATTATGCAATTAGGCCTAAAGAGAAAGAATGGGAAAGTGGGGACATAAAATCCATTGTTCATGTTCCACTAGACAAAACCAAAACACTATAATACAATTGAAGCTAGCCTCAAACTGATCAAACACTCTTTTTGTAATCCAGAAACAAAATAAAGCATCTTTTACGTGCCTCCTTAGCAAGTCAGCTGAGCACGGGTTTCACAGTTATTATGTCACGTGTCACCATGCTATTGTTAAAGCTAGGGCAAGTTTTTCACTCTGTCCATGTGCCAGTACTCACAAAAACCTAAAGGGTTTCTCCTTAAAAACTTGGAGTTCATCATCTAGTCACTAGAGAACTGTTGAGGCTTTCATTAACCCTTAAATCTATCAGCAACAATTTTGGAGGTATATACTTTCCCTTCTATATTACCTATAGCCTTTTATACTAGCCATCGCACTACCTCATGACATGGCTGTAAGATTTCAATGTGACAATATGATTTTAAAAATTTAACACAGCACCTGTCACAGAACAATGCCCATTTAAAGTTTATTTGTAGCTGGGTGCAATGGTGCATGTCTGTAATACCAGCGGCTTGGGAGGCTGAGGCAGGAGGATTTCGGGTTCAAAGCCAGCCTCAGCAAAAGGGAAGAGCTAAGCAACTCAGTGAGACCCTGTCTCTCAATAAAATACAAAATGGTGGCTCGGTGACCAATGCCCCTGAGTTCAATCCCCAGTACCCAAAAACGTTTATTTGTTCTTCTGTTTTTTTAAAGGGAAATAAAGTTGTTATTAAGCATGTGGTTTTTATACAAATAAAATATATCATTGACATTTTTTTACAGCTCTTTAGAAGGAACTGACAATGAGGTTGCAGAGTGATTTTGGTGTTAATCACCCGTAAATGCAGTAAAAAGAAACATTTCAACTTCAAAAATTGCCACAGATGTCAAAGATCAAGAACTATAAAACTGAGACTATTATTTTGTTTAATTTTATTTATCCTCTAATTTATTTTTTCTGTTGTCTCCATTAGATAAAAAGCAGCCTGGGAATGAACATTGTGAGTTCTATTTTTTCCCTAATTGGGGCGATTCTGTTGTTACTGGACCTGTGCATCAATGGCCTCGCTTCTCAGGCCTACTGGGCAGTGGTGAGTGTCCCGAAATCTCCACATTTATGCTTTCTGTTCCCACAGAATGAGTCTATGTCTTTAATCTCCTTGCCCTGTAGGAACACCAGTGGAAATCTCTTCTTCTATCCCAGCCCCATTCCTAGAAATGGTTTTGCTGGGAGGATAAAGTGGGAGAGGTAAGCCTCTGCAGACAGACTAAAGCAGAAGGAGCATGATTGGCCCATCCCACTGTTAATTCCAGGAACTCAGGGGAAGGTCTTGGATAGGCCCACTCCTCAGAATACCCCAAAATTATTTTCCAACAATTTGAAATTCTGTATCAACAAGAATGTGAAGCTATTGATTGCTTCTTTATTTTAGGTTAAAATGAGGGACAGGAAAATAACAGTGACAAGGACATCCAATTTTTACTAAAGAAGCCCAGAAAGTGAAGCCATTTTGAAATGAAGTATATGTCTCTGAATGTGTTCAAATGCAATCATCCATTCATGATCTTTATACAGACCAAGCAAGGACTCTGACCCCAGGAGGAAACAGGTGGTCTGAGGGCCAGAATGGTTACCATAGATAAGGAATGCAGCAACACAGTAACACAATATATTTGTGTTTTGAATTCATTATTGTCTTTTGCAGTATAGAGAAAGGCATATAAGGCAAGAATATAGGTAAGGTGATATCTTAGTCTGTTTTCTGTTGCTATAACTAAATAAATGAGGCTGGATACCTTATAAAGAAAAGATGTTTCTTTAGTTGCTAATTCTGGAAGACCAAGAGCATGGTGTCAGTATTGGCTTCTGGTGAAGGCCTATTGGAAGACAGCATGGGAGCATGCATCCCATGCATCCCATGGAAAGAATGCACAAGAGACAGACAGACACCAAGGGCCAGGCTCACTCTTCTATAACAACTTGCTCTTGTGAAAATTAACCTTCTCCTAGAAGACCTAATCCACTCAGGAGATGAGCATTAACACCCTCACAAACGCAGTCCTGAGCCAATCACCTCCCACTAGGCCCTACCTCTTCATGTCCCACCACCTTCCAGTGCTTACCCCTGCCATGTAAGATTGGCCCATGCCTCCAGCATGTGAACCCTTGGGGTTCAAGCCATATCCAAACCACAGGAGGGGACCTCTTGGTAAATAAGGTGGGCTTCAGCAAGAAAATGAATTTCATATTTTACAATGTCAAATGAAAAGAACAAAACCTTACTGAAAATTCAGTTTCAAACCTGGAATCCATGTGCAGAAATAAATCCAATGTGACTCGAGATGGTGGAGAAAGCACAGCTCCTAGTCCTGGTTCTTATCCACTCCCCAAGAGGCCAAACTGAAGAAAGAACAGAGGCCAAGAAATACAAAGAAGCCTTACCAGTGTGCTCCCATCTGGAGTTGGAAAGACTGAGGTGGACAGCCGTGAGTTCTGAGAAAGAAGAAAGCAAATGATTTATGGGAGAAGCCCTCCTACAGCACTCAGTAATCCACGGGATGGAATCCCCCTCTGGCCATGGGGCAGGCACTGGAACCAGTCATTTAGCAGAGTCTCAGAGGAGAGAAAGTGAAGTTCATGTCTTAGTACTAGCTCAGCTCTCTATTTCCCGGAAACAGCTGCCTGGTAGGCATTCAGGGGAAAAAAAAACCAATTGTGTCTAAAACAACTGAAGCCTTCAAGTCAAAGGCAGCAACAAGCAAAACAAATTGGATTCAAAGAGTGGAAATACAAGTCAAGGAAAATTCACCCACCCTCCCTCTGAACAAATACAAGGCCCATATGGATCTGTTCACTTTAAGAATGAAAGGTTGAGAAAATGGCAGGAAATTAACCAAGCCCATTAGCGTGATTGAAGGAAGGAAGGAAGGAAGGAAGGAAGG